TTACAAACAGGAGAAGTATTAGCTTGAATTTACTATTAATTAGTATAGTATAGTATTAGTAGCAGGTACTTTCACTTTCAAGTTTTGTTAACAGTAAGCTTATGAACCAGGAATAAAATAGCTAAGCAGTATTTTCTTGTCCATGAGTTCACTGAGTCGTTAGAACCTGTCAAGTGAAGTCTGCACTTTGTAGAAGAACGTGGCATGTGAGAGTTATAGCAAGTTTAATGAGGCTTTTGATGAAGCACTTGGTAAAATTATTGCAATTCTAGCTGAAGGAGATGAATAACTTCTTAGATCAATGTTGAGTGAATGTGTAAGTCTGGGACCTAGGTACGTAGTACAGATGACTTGAGGCAACATAAAATTTGCTTTGTGAAATTCTGGAGCAGCACATATGCACAGCACACATCAGGATTGCTGCAGCCACAGCACACATCACAGTGGGTGTACATATGCACAGCACACATCAGGATTGCTGCAGCCACCTAGAAACCATTTTAACTGAAAGGTCCGGGTTTTAGTCAGTAGGTACCCTCCTAACTACTGGCCTCTACTTTCCTTTAGAAAAGAAATTAGCATAATATTTCAAGTGAAATGTACTTGCATCTTGCTTCCTAACATGATTGTTGATAGTTTTTCTGTGTATAGGCAAATTTATTGCTTCACCATCAAATTTAAATTTCAGAGGAAAGTAATTTCACAATATGTCAGCAATATCATTCATCTGTATTAATGATAAGAACCACAAGTTTCATAAAGATTCAACATGAATTCACTTTATAAAAAATAAATGAAGGTTTATTTCCCTGCCTTCAAACACAAAAAAAACCTAAATTGTGGTATTTACATGACATATAAAATTATAGTCATGAGCTCTTTATCTCAACTCTTACATGGGGGTTAATGAAATAGATGAGAGAAAAAAATGCCCAGGAAATCACTAGTTGGGTGAGGGAGCCTGGGAGGTACATGCAAAAAATATGTCTGAGGCCATTATTGATGATTTGAGGCAACCTAGGCAAGAGAGGATGAGTCTGATGAGAAAAGATGTAAATACAAAAATGTTTAAGAATTTAATGGAAATCAAAATTGAATGCATGAGAAAGGGTGACTGAAAGAAATGCCAGCTTTCTTGATCCTGATTGTATTATAGCATAGAGAGCATGTATTGAGAATTTGAAATGGATGGAATGCACCTCAATCCTGATGGCACAGAGGTGCTTGGGAAAAAGAAAGACTATTGAAAATTAATGAACTTCGAGAAAACAGCACTAATCATACTTTATGATTTGAATCTTTCATTCTTTGCCGTTAAACGGGCAGTAAAGTGCTGCGTGACATTGACTGCAAACCGCCAAGTCGCCAACTGCCAAGAATTTGCATTTACAACTTTACAAGTCATCATTATTGCAAATGGACAATCATCTTTATTTTTTCGAAATCCGATGGACAATCATTTGTGAAAAAAACTCAATTCATAGGATGAAAAAATTTATTTCCTAGGTACGAATTTAAAATAAATCAGCGTTACACGTTTTGCAGCGTTGTAAAACTCTGCAGCACAGAGTATTATTTACAATATTATAAAAGTGGTTTATATTTGACGAAAATACTAATAGTCGAGTTGAACATTTGAGAGTCGCACGAGAATAACATTGAGAGTCGGTATCGTACTCCCTTACATTGAGAAGTCCCGGATGAACAAAATGGTGGCCGCCATGTACACATAAAAAACTCAATATTTTATGTCAAATACCGCATAATTAGGTAAAACAACACTTTATATCCAATTATTACGATAAAATATTGAATATCACATAATATTATACCTCAAACCATGAAATATTGCCGGGAAAATACCGTATCGGTTTATGGTACAAGGAATCCTGGAGGCCGCCATCTTGGAAATTTACATCCAAGTAAATCGCTGTAGCATCTTCATAATACGTTCAAGAACAGAATAATTCAGTCAGTTATCAATAGGACTAAGAAGGCTGGTGAATGACTAGCAAAGAGGCCGAATAAATTTTATGTTAATGCACTGTTTATGACTTACCGGTGTTGTAGACGTGCAGCTCATCAACAATACCTTCGTTTCCACCACCAAAAACTATCATCAAATCCTTTATGGCAACCGCTCTGTGCCCATGACGAGGTCTCGGTTGTGGCCCAGTAGTATTCGATATTTTTTTCCATTTCAAATTATTAGCAGCCATCACATGTTTTTCAATGTTTCTACTGATATTGCTGACAGCTCCTCTCACCCAGCTCACTCTCACCGCTCAGGGTCGGCTCAGAATCAGATCTTTCGAGTACCAAACAATACGTTACCGAGAGACTGTTTTGATAGATCCCGTAAAACAATGTTTTCCTTTTGTTTTTATTTAGTAAATTACTTCGTTTCCGCCTGGAATATGAAATAGAAAGATATATATAGTGCTAATATCGGATGAAATTTAGTAGAAAAAATCAAAATCGCTTTTTATTTATGACGAATCAAATTATATGCGGGAAAAAACTGACCTTTGATGGAGAGGATGAACGCTGTGAATATCACTACGTTAAAAGGAAAGTTTACGTACATTTACAAGTAATTTTTTGTGTCTAATTTCATTTTAATGAAATCAAAAATTGAAATTCATTTTGCATGTCTTCGTATTTGAAAATAAAGGCCAAACGGACGTTCTACGTAAAATACTGGTTAAAACGTTTCTTTCTTTGATTAAATAGATGATCTTGATATTATGTACATTACTACCTACCGGGATTCCGGGAGCGACGGTATTGAGATCTAAAATTATAGGAATTGTCAAGCCTGTTTAATTCCAGAAATACCTGCTGGTAACATTATTTTAGTATTATCACATTGTACCATGTATCGCATTAATTTTGATTAATTGTAAATTATGATATATAGCGTTCTACCTATTTTCGCAAGATCATGAATGTCACGAGTCCTGATTTATTAAGTCATTGTCATTCACGAAATATTAGCCGTTTAATCATATAACTGGCTTGGGAATCATCAGAGCAGTTTGCCAGTATAACCATTATCTCCACTCATCATCATTCTCGGAATTTGCATAAATTGAAAAACAACCGTGCAAAGTTATGGATGTTTACTGTAGTAACGTGATTAGGTTTTAACTTTAGCTGGGCGTAGGCTCAGCGTCGGCAATTGCCTCGTTACGTAGTTTTGGCCCCGTACGCATTTTTTTTGCACTGGCCACTGGTCCTAGTCCTACGATCAGACTCTGAGTGCATCGGTGAGGAACATGATCGATTCGAGAGAGAGCTGCTTTGCCACTGGTGAAATGCTTTAGGTTGTACGTTGTTTTTGAAGGGAACGAATAGAAAGTGTATAGGCCTTTCACACATGAATGAAACGACCGAGTTAGCATACAACCGTTGCAGAGAACGCTGTAAAAAAAATTAGTAGGAGCAAAAACTACGCAAGAATTTAATTCAAAATTTAACTAAGATAGATTAAATTCATCTTCTTAATTTAACGTAATCCTAACAGTACCGAAAACTAAATTTCCTCCCAAAAAAGGTTGATAGTCGATTTAACAGACATGTATTGCGATACACTCAAAAGGAGGCCAGTTGCTTGTTTTGCCTCAATAATGTAACCGCTGTCCTTTTTATTTCGGAAGAGAGTCTTTGTTTGTATAAACGAAATTAACAAATCAATTTGACGTGCAGTAACGTTTCCATAGTGTGATAATAACTTAAATATGAATTCAGTCAGTGGCTTTCAAGAAGGCGAGCGCCGGTAAGGGGCCTCCCGCGCACCTTCGCTCATAATAATAATAATAGCGGTTTCAGCGTTTATTAGGCCGTAGGCCTGTCGCCGATTCTTAACATCGCATTGCATCCACAGCTTGTTGCGGGCTCGAACTTCGCAACTCACTGCTTCAATTTTTGCTTTGCTTAACCGCCTGGCCTCCTTGCCGATTCTGACTAGAAACTGACGCACAGAGCTGGGATCGAACCCGCGCCTCTCTGCTCCAACCTTGGTACTCTGAACAGTAACCACTGGGCCACCCTGCCTTCCACTGGGCCACCGTGCCAGAGCATGTAGATATTGCCGTGCGGCATACATGTCATTGTGGGACTGAAAAAGCGCCATATTTTCATTCATGTGTCTGATCAGCAAGATTTTTAGTCAATAATCGTGCGTATGATGACAATTGTATATTAAAAACCTTCTACTGTAATGCTGCGTCAAATTTTAGCTGGCTGCCTGTTTTTGAATAAGACGAATTATTGATTAATAATTTGACGATTCAGTTCAAGGCATGTTTGAGTCTGTACGAGAGGAAGCGAAAAAAAGAATTTGTAAATAAATTTTATTATATTTTATGATATATACATGGATAACTCGTCATAAGGAGCTACTTTCTACAATTGAGATTGAAATCGGGCGGCTGATAAAAATAATTGACCAAGTGCTTCAGGGCGTCGTACATACAGAGTCAGAGATGTGCTGTTCGTTGAACAGAAGTGCTTCAAATGTCAATTAACAGAAGTGGGTTCACATATGACGGGCTTATGACTATATCATTATTGAGGGTAGCCCGTTGGTTACAGTACAGAGTATCAAGATCGGAGCTGTGAGTTGTTGGTTCGATCTAAGCAAACTGCGTCTGTTCTGGTAAAATGGGCAAGGATGTCAGGCGGTTAAACACTGCGAATTGGAACAGAGAGTTGCATGCTTGAGACTCGCAACGAGCTGTGAAAATTTGAGATGTTCAGAATAGGCGAATGGTTTACTGACTTATTCAGTACCTTCTTAGTTTTAACTATTACTATATGCTCCTATCAGAGAAATACGGCCGGAAATTCGGTACTATAATTGTTCCAAATATGTAAGTCGCATCTTCTGATTTATTGTTTGGAGCCAACTGCAGTTGTATTATTGAATTTCAAGTGACCAAAAGAATTTGTGAGAATCTAATTTCTGCTCCGTGTTTTAGTGAAGTGTGTTTCACGGACTGCCATAATTGATGCAGTGAGGTGCCGCGGCTGCATCCGTTGTCCGATTCAGGCTTTTGGTTGTTATGGTTGGTGGGTCACGCTTACTGCGGCTTGCACAGTACTTGATAGTTTGGAAATCCTATTTGCTGCATAAGAAATGAAATAAATTAATTAGGATTGATTTTGAAGTTATATTTCGGTAAGCATTTAATTCCGTCATGAGGTCTTCTGAGAGGTTGCAAGCTTCGGAAGAAAAGGGACACGATATTCCTGGTAAGTGAAAACCTTAATTGAATTAACATTGATGTGTCAAACTTCAGAAGTGTACTCTTGCCAAGCTGGCACTTGCCAGTGGCCATGCCATAAAACTTATCTCACTGCCCTTTGATAACAACTTGATAAAACTGGTTTGATATGAATGATTATGAAGTATGTATACTTTGTGTCTTTAATAATTTTGTAGCTAACCTGATTTTCTCAATTTCATCATTCTCAATTTCTCAGCCAATGCCACTGGGCATTGGTGGACTAGGTCTGACTAGCCCACTGAAAAACATCCAAGATTCAATGTTGTTTGACTAATTGATGAGAGTAATAACTAAGCTATTAATTTAATAGAAGCATTCCCTGATCTTTTACCAAACTTGCGAAATGAGAAAGCAACAACTTTTGTCCAGGCTCCAGCTACTAATCTGATTCTGAGCTACACTCAGTACACTGAGTGACTGAGACTGCTGACTGAATACTGTTTTTTACTGCTTTTCATTGTGTTTAATATAAATAATATTGACAAGAATTTGCAGAAATTGTATTGAAGATAATTTTATAGGCAATTTATAAAAATTGCTGACAAAAATATGTAATTTTTCCTATTTTTTTGGCAGGGTCATAAAAATATATGAAATTGCTTCAATTACAGGCCCTAATCTCATGGAGATAGAGTTTTGTGTAATTTTTCCATGCACAAATAAACGTCGTATGGTCAATTGGTCACCGAAATTTTAAAAGGACAGAAATTTAGTAGAGAGTGTTCAAAGACGCGCAACAAGGATAGTTCCGGGCTTGAAAGGCAAGTCCTATGAGGAAAGATTAAAGATTATGAAGCTTCCAAGCCTCAGTTATCGATGTCTGCGTGGGGACCTCATTGAAGTATACAAGTATACTTGTGACATATACAAGGTCCCAGAAGGATTACTAGAATTTGAAACAAGAACCAACACCAGGGGCCACAGCTATAAACTTAAAAAACAGCGTTGGAACACATCCATGCGACAACATTTCTTCTTGCTTCGAGTCACCGACATGTGGAACAGCCTCCCTGATAGCATCTTTGACGCTCCAAGTATGAACATCTTCAAAAACAGACTAGACAAAGCTATGCAGGAGCATATGTTCAGTCTTAAAATGCCTAGCAAATTACAGACCCGGCAATAAGTCCAGCAGCTATCTCAATCAATCATCAGACGTCAGCTATGGAAAGATCGGGTTCCAAAGGCCAGATCCCTTGTGAATCAAGTCACGAAAAGTTCAAGAATCGGCAACAGGCCATGGGCCTATTTCTTCAACGCCGACACTTCTATTCTATTCTATTCTAAATGAGCTGCCTGAAATCAGAAGTCTGCACAGTTTGTACAGGATGATCTCAATTTGAATGGGCCTTCTTAATTTTTGGGTGGAGACATGTCTTTTTCCTGCTGTGATTAGTTGAGATGTTATCCACTCCAGACTGTAATTGGTTGTGTGGTGGGCTTTCCAAAATGTGTATTTTGTTTAATTTAATACCCACTCTAGAATTTCAAACTGTCAGTGAATAAGGCCAAAGTGCCTGTGGCTGCCATCTATATTCAATTTCATCCAGTAATACTAGAAGCACAGTGAGGTCAAAATGACCTATTGTCTTTTAAAATAGGCATAAAATGTAAACATTTAATTTGATTGCCATGAAATTTTATGATTTATTTTTCATTATTATATATCTAATTATGTAATAACAATGTGAAACATCAATTAAATTCTGTATAATTGAATGCTCTACCTCCATGGATGATGTCATTTTGACCTCATTGGAGATTTATTTCACTTTTTTTTTTAGAACTTCATAAAGGCACAAATAACATTTTAATTACCGTACCTGTTAAAAAACTACAGATTTGTATCATTGTGTTCCTATTAAAATAGGTGCATATAAATTTTCAGAATTTTCAATATATGTTACCTTTATCAGATCTGTTGTGTTATGACTAGAAAAACATGGAATGATTTGCTTCAACTCGATTATCTATGTCATTTATACATACCAGTATGGTAGGGCTTAATTACTTGTTTCCATTGTATTTATTCTGCTGTATTTATACAGTAGAATGCATTGTATTTGTATTCTACTGTTGTTTCCATCGTATTTATATGGATTGATTCTATTGTGAATGATATTTTTCTGTCAAGTAAGTGATAGTAATCTGTTTGGACTTCCACAGGTGGCAATGTCAAGTCTGGTAGGCCTAGAAGAAAAGCAGCCAAATTATCAGAATCCAGCCCTGTTAAGCTCAGTCCCATCAAAGACAAGAAATTGGAAACTGCCCTGCCTGTTCCAGTAAGAAGTATTATTTTCTTCCTCCTGTTAAGTATTTTTAACCAACTTCATGGTAAAATTTATGAAGTTAATCTCAGATTGTGGTGTCAGTATTGGACAAATGGAAGCAATTATTCTATATCTTTGTAAATTATAATAAGTATTTTATTTGTTATTAGTTTCTATTATTATAGGTGAAATTTCCAGAATATGAAGGAATACGCTGCTTGTGCATAGATATGGAAACCTCACTCCATGGGAAATGTAATTTTTTTAATTTATAATGATGAATGTTTTGGTAGGTATTATTGCAAGTTAATCTGTTTTATGTGAAATTTTATGTGACTATGAATTTTCATGGCAAAGACCTATTATTATACCTGTTAAGATCAGCATCAAATACTTTGATCATGGCTTACATTAATTATCCATACCTCAAAAACCTAGCTTATGTGTATTGCATTGTATACTAAGGAGCATTTGACACATGCTCATTGCCTAGGAGCAAATTCTTCCAGCTGTTGGCAAATGATTACCTATGCCTACTTTTGCCCACTGAGGTCAATGGTTATTTAAAAACTACCACCTATATTTATATTATGACTCATTTAATGATGCAAGCATTTCAGTATCTTTATGTATTACAGGGAGACAGTGAAGTTGATGCTGAGTTATCTGATTTTGATGACATTGACATAAAAGAAGGTAAGTTATCCTTGTGTTACTGAAATAATTGTATGTTTATTTTATAGTCCTGCCTCCAGCATAGCCATTTGAGTGATGACTTTGCTTTGTGTCTATGTAGTCAATTTTTTCATATACTTATTTCAATACATAGGTATTAATAAATAGATGAGTCTTAAAAAGTTAAAGATGGGATTTTTAACTTCAACTTTATTATTTTTACTTGTCTTGTGCAAAGTATTAGTTACCATACTATATTAGTTGTTGCAGTTCAATACTGAAAATATTTGCATTGAATTCAAAAATCAAAAAGTTATTGTACCTTTTTTCTGGGTCATTGGGATTCAGAAAAATTTAGGAATTCCAACCTGAGCAAAATGCACAAAGCTTCTGTTTAGAACAGAAATGAAAATAAATAATTTGTAACTTCACTCCACTATTTTTCTTGATCATAATATTGAGATGCACGTTTGCATTGAAATGCATGCTATTTTGGTGGATCTAGAAATAAAGACCAAATAAGGCTATATTACAGCTGTCCTGACTTTAACTCCATACTATGGTAATCAAAATGCATAATTTTTAATGAACATGAACAATTATTACCTGTCATTTCTTCTTTGTCACCATTGAGACAATTTAAATTAATCCTGATCATTTTATGGAACTTATTTGCAAATTATATAAAACAATTTAAGAATTCTGATTAGATAGTAGATTCCTCTGATCAGCATTTAGCATTGTTCACGATAATTTGCTCAGAAACAATTGCAAAATATTTTGAAAAGAGTAATGATTTTATCTGTGCAGAAGATGACTGGGATTTGCCAGATGACAACAGTTTATTGAAGCTAACTGAAGAAGACTTCCAAGACGATCAAAGTTATGAGAGCCTCGGCCTGCCACCTCACGACATCGACATTGACAACGATGACTTTGATATTGATGATGACGAGCTCGAACTTGATGATGCATCCAAAGATTCTTCGGGTATGGTGAGTAACTAGTGTGGTGGTGTGGTGAGTGACTAGTGTGGTGGTGTGGTGAGTGACTAGTGTGGTGGTGTGGTGAGTGACTAGTGTGGTGGTGTGGTGAGTGACTAGTTGGGGCTCAGTTTCAGGGGTTAGTCTCAGGGTCTCAGTTTCAGGGGTTAGTCTCAGGTGCTTAGTTTCAGGAATTAGTCTTAGGTGCTCAGTTTCAGGGGTTAGTCTCAGGCGCTCAGTTTCAGGAGTCAGTCTCAGGGGCTTAATTTCAGGGGTTATTCTCAGGGTCACAGTTTCAGGGGTTAGTCTCAGGGGCTCAGTTTCAGGGGTCAATATCAGGGGCTCAGCCTTTCAAGGATCAGTCTCAGCCTCTCAGGTGCTGTGCCACCCCTATCAAAATTCTTAGTTTGTGGCGACCCTGAATTAGAAACCGCCTAGGACTCGAACCGAGCGTAAATCAGCTTCTCTATGTCCGCTTTTTGGTCTGCATTCCGGTCCCCGAATCAGACAGCTACCAGAGCCCGGTGAGGGGGCTGAGGGGATTCTGCCAACTCTTGCCCTACTCTCAGGAGACCATAAAGTTGGCCAGAATGTTCTGACTAGTTGCTGATTGCAATCAGTTGGCCAACTGACCCAGAATAACTCTAAAGCGAACATAGCAACTCTGGGGGAACATAGCAACTCATAGCAACTGAAGCATACCCCGAATTTTGTTAGGGACAGGGAGTTCAGTCTCAGTGGGTTAGCCTCATGAGGTCAGTCTTGGGGGTTTAGTTTCAGGGGGTTACCCTCATTGGGTTTAGTTAGCCTCATGGGTTTAGTTAGCCTCATGGGTTTAGTTAGCCTCATGGGTTTAGTTAGCCTCATGGGGTCTTGGGGGCTCTGTTTCAGGGGTCAGTTTCTTGCGGCGCGCTGCATGCCCGTTTCTGGGGTCAGTTTTAATTTTGAATTTGTATAATTTTTCAAGTTTAAGTTCTCAATGAAAACGTTTGCAGACTACCCCAGCATTTGTATTGTTGTGGTTGCTAAGGAATAACGAAAAAAAAGTTTTTTTATCTAATATCTTATAATTGTTGAAAGGGGCTAAAGGAAATTTGTTGATAGTGACTGATGAAAACTAATATATGAAGAAATTAGAGTGGAAGTCTTTTTTTAAGGTCCGGGTGAAATGAACAAAATATCAGTTAAATTATAGTTGATAATTTTAGAAAAGTTGGAGTCAGAAGTGGTGTCAGTGCGACCGTATTACGGGACATTGCGCCTCTCAGGCGACGTGCATTTCATCGTCGTGCCTGATTTAGAGGTGAGTGCTAGCGACGCTTTTATAGGCAAGCTTTGTCGAGCGATTACTCAAAGGACTGGCAGTCCTCGAAATCCTTCACACCAGTCAATTTTACTATTGCAAATTTACTTGCTTACTGCGGTAATTCTGTGACCAGTTCCCACTGCAAGTTTCCGTGCGTTAGCAGCAAATTTTAGATATATCGCCTGAAGCTAATTTAGTACCTCTTCTGTTTATATCCACGTTAGAAGTCTTGTTTATACCTATTGACCCACGTCAAGCTGTGCTGCAACACAATCTGTCACCACCACGGGTATTATAAGCATTTACGGGTGCACAAATAGTAATCTGATTAATTAGTACAGGTGCACAAATAGTAATCTTATTAGTAATTAGGTGCACAAATAGTAATCTGATGAGATTTAGATTATTTGAAATATTTTCAATTTTTTTAACCTCACCCCAAAAATGACACTACGTACCTGAGGGATAGCTTAGTTATTGGTCGTTACAATTGTGAAGTATCTCTGTCGTCCGAAGTTATGGCGAAATTGGCAAGCGATCTTTCAAAGCATCGCATTACGATGCAAGGGAGGTCAATTTTTTAATTAAAAAATGTATTGTAATTTATTATGCAAATTTGTGTTAATCAGTAAACTGCGGAAAGTATCCCATGTGATATCAAAAACAGAGGATGTCAAGAATTTTTAAAATAATGACTGAAATAGTTACGAGGATTCCAGCACGACAAGTTTGAAAGAATTCTCTGTTAAAAACTGAACAGAATTCCCAAAAGAAAAGACATGGAAACTCTCAAGCAGCAGATGGAGGCCACGCATAAGAAATAATTCAACCATGATAATAAGCTCCCTCTCGATACCCTCTGTCATGCGGCTTTTCTCTGCATTTATCTGAGTCGTGCAATCACAAACATCATTACTATAATATTAATTCTGAGCTTTTAGTCAATTCCTTACTCATAGTTATTAGAAGTGTGGGACACAAGTCTCACCCGAGTGGGGTGCAAAAAATACTTTCACTATTCGAAAAGTTTGTCAACTTTCAGTGTTGATATTTTGGTAGATATCTGTTATAGCTTAGCCTTCATTCTTCAATCCCGTCTTGTTGTCTTAAAATTGTTTTAAGTTGTCTTAAAATTCTCACCATTCTAATGATGAATGACATCATCTATATCATCATGCCCGTCACCATCATAATGATGAATGCTATCATCACGTATCATCACTATCACCACGTTGCCCTCATCTCAGCATCATAATGATGAACGCTATCATCACTATCACCAGTTACCCTCATCTCACCATCATAATGATGAATGCTATCATCACTATCACCACACCACCAGAACTGGAAGCGTCGGGCCAAGCGTCTGGCGGTGCGTCTGCGTGAGGGCGGCGCTAAGGCTCCCCTCGTGCCCCCCAGAGCTGCTGCCCTCACTTCCCCCCCTACAGCAGCTGGTCCTCCCCTCGCTGCCCCTGCTAACCCTGGTGGGCCTCTGCCCTTATTATTGTTATTATTAATATTATTATTATTATATTATCATTATTATTATTGATATTATTATTATTACCTATTCTTATTATTATTATTATTATTATTATTGTTATTGTTATAATTATTATTATTATTATTATTATTATTCTTATTATTATTATTATTGTTATTGTTATAATTATTATTATTATTATTGATATTATTAGGATAATTAAAAACACTTTAATTAATCAATTAATCAATAACTTCGCAAAATAAAAATAAAAGCTCAGCTAAACTATTTAATGTTGAGCTCGTTTAAAAGCTCATTGATTGCGCTCAACTTCATACTGAATATCCTAGTGTTTTTTAACTTTAGTGACAAATTTTAAGATACACTAAAATATTTATTATATGCATAATATAGTGTAAATTATATAGGTATAATATATAATAATATAACTAAATATTTCTCACTGCTTTGAAATATTAATTTAGCGCGACTCTGTTGGTTTGGTTTGGAAAGTGTAGCAATAGCACAATAATTGTAACATAGTTGAGTGCCGTGACGATGTGTTGGTGTTGTGCCGTGACGATGTGTTGGTGTTGTGCCGTGACGATGTGTTGTGTTGTGCCGTGACGATGTGCTGGTGTTGTGCCGTGACGATGTGTTGGTGTTGTGTCGTGACGATGTGTTGGTGTTGTGTCGTGACGATGTGTTGGTGTTGTGCAGGTCGTCGCTCGTCCCCAGCGAAGGCCGCTAGGAGAGCGTCTGCACCCCGCCCCCCTCGGTGAGTCCCCCCCGCCCCCCGCGTCACGGTAAATAATGATGAATAAATTTAGAAAGACGAGATTATCTCAATGATTGTTACTGTAGAATACCTAATTACTAAGCAAGAGATAATCTCGATGAATGTTACTATAGAATGTCTAAATACTAAGCATAAGTGCTAAGGATGGCGAGGGTAATAAGGATTATGAATCAGATAAATAGTAAATGCTCTATATAAATTATAATCAAAATGAAAAGTAGCAAATATAAAATGTGATAATACCGTAGTGCTAGAAAAATTAAGACACGATTGGTGTTTTGGGAATATATGATAATGTTCATTTACGGTAAATTATGTTCTCGGAAAGAAAGTTTATTGAGGATTTGATTTCACAACAGACCTCATCACGACTCCTCCATCAATAAAGCAAATATAAGCTAGTAGACGATTATTATTATTGAATGAAGTTTGATGAATCCTGCATTAGTTGTAGGACGTACAGGCCTTCTTGTGTCCTCAGCGCATAGGATTTTTTCATTTGCTTTGCCATAGGATTCCTTCAGTTGGGATTTGCTTTGCCATAGGATTCCTTCAGTTATTATATTGATCCCGAGGAATTAACCTTGCTGATGTACATATCCGTAGCATCAATTTGTTACTTCAAAGTTCAACGAAGGAGTTTCACAGTAATTATTTCATGAATTGTTACTTATTCATCTTCAGTTATTGTATATTAATTCATAAATTAATATCAATAATATTTTGAACAATAAATTCTGTTATGAATATATAAATTCTATCAAGTTTTATATATTATTATTTTAAATGAATACCTATGAGTAATATTCTTGATAAGAAGTTAAGTATTATATATTTATATTTTAGCTGAATATGAATAATGTTCATAATAATAATATCTTTAATGGCCTCCTGCAGAGGTGGTGGCCGGGGATCACAAGGGCGCGGCGGTGGGGCGGCGGCGGCGGCGGCGGAGGGCGCCACGGCGGCGTCGGGCTTCAGGGTGACGGGGACGGCGGCCATCGACGTGGCCTCGCACATGAAGCTGCTGGGGGAGAGCCTTAACAACATAGGGCATAAGCTCAAGGAACATGAGGTGGTCCTTCTATCTTATTTAATATATCTTATATTATATATCATATATCATATATAATACTGAGGGAGAGCCTTAACAACATCGGCCATATGCTCAAGGAACATGAGGTGGTCCTTCTATCTTATTTAATATATCTTATATTATATATCATATATTATATATCATATTATATATCATATATATTACTGAGGGAGAGCCTTAACAACATCGGCCATAAGCTCAGGGAAGATGAGGTGGGGGCGGTGCTTCTGTTTTATTTAATATTCCATCTGTTCGCAATAGATGGTAGATTTTAATTGAAATTAATTTTTAATTATAATTGATTTAGCTGAAAAAAGCTTACATTTTCTCTATTGTAATGCGTTGAAGCAAGAGATGTAAATAAACGACATGGGTTAGTGTTGTATAACAGGAATAGAATAATTGCTGAAGTTTGATCTTGCGGGAAAAGACGGCTATAATTAAATTATTAGAACCATTTACTGCCGTACTTTGTTGAGAATCACCTTTATTTATGTACCAAAAATTGATCACTCATGATGTAAAATAATATTACCTTACGTGCAGGGCCAGATCGCGGTGTCGGGCAGTCTTTCTGTGCTGCTCGACTCGATGCTGTGCGTCCTGGGGCCTCTCGTGTGCCTCACCGAGCAGCTCGAGGAGACCAGGGGCGCCATCTCCCCTCAGACTCATGCCGCCATCCTCGACAACATCGCCTACATCATGCCTGGCATCGTGTAGTAGTGAGGTGATGGTGACGTGTGATGCCATCACACTCCTGCACCAAATTCATTGTTTCTTGTACACCACCGTCATCACTAGCGATAATAATAGTCTTCCCAGACGCGGCCCATAGAGTTATTACAAGACTAGGGGGCCGTACTATCTAAACTTGCTTAAGTACACATAGCTGCCTAAGTACACGTAGCTTCCTAAGTACACGTAGCTGCCTAAGGACATGTAGCTGCCCAAGGACTTGTAGCAGCCTAGATACACGTAGCGATTGATTTATCGACCGTGATTGGTGGGTTTAGCGTTAGAAGCCGTCAGTAATTTGCTGACGGGGTTATGAACTCATAATTAATTTTAATAATACTGCCCCAGGAACATTTCTACAGCTTTGGTCCAATGTTAGTGAGCATCGCATGTCCTCTTCAAATAAATCTTAGATGTTGAGATGATCTTTGTATTGCCACTAACCCTAAGGCAAGGGGTGTGGGCATTACTCAACCCTCACCTTCTCTCTCTGCCACGCTCAACGTACCTACTTGTATCGGTCTAAAAAATTTTTTCAGATGCTGTGAAATGTTGCTAAACTTTTTGTTGCGTGAAACTTTTAAACAAAAATTTGATTCACTGGCGACATGTGCCTTGAAATTTGCTTTGAAGCGTGCTTAAATTTTTATGATTGTACTGAAATTAATTATTTTTTTGGTAAAAATCATTATAGCAAAAAGTTAATGTTAAAACGGTACTGGGTTGAAGTGATGGAATACGGCAGAGAGAGACGAAGTCTGAGCTAATGTCCACGCCAAGGCTGTTAGGCGACGCCTCCTTCCTGAGCCTGGCTTCCGCGCTGCGTAACTCGCCGTATAATATTCTGTACGCTATTGTGCGGGAAATGTAATGTACCCTATAACTCAACGATAGTTCGTTACGGTATGGTGCGGGAAATGTTATGTACCGTATAAGTCAACGATAATTCGTTACGGTATGGTGCGGGAAATGTTATGTGCCGTGTAACTCAACGATAATTCGTTACGGTATGGTGCGGGAAATGTTGTGTACCGTGTAACTTAACGATAATTCGTTACGGTATAGTGCGGGAAATGTTGTATTCCGTGTAACTTAACGATAATTCGTTACGGTATAGTGCGGGAAATGTGGTGTTCCGTGTAACTCAACGATAATTCGTTATGGTATAGTGCGGGAAATGTTGTGTTCCGTGTAACTCAACGATAATTCGTTACGCTATTGTGCGGGAAATGTTATGTACCGTGTAACTCAACAATAATTCGTTACGGTATGTATCTTTGGCCAATGTCCATAGAATTAATTAGATTTTGTTACCCTAATAATTTTGCTCAAGCGTATTCTATATTGGGTTTTTGGAAAAATTGCAAGTCAAATAGGAATGATTTCATTCCGGCGTTTCTAGTTTGTGCATGTGTCTTCGTTCATATCGGCCACTTATCTCCATTGAAATATTTTGTTCATGATTATTGAATGTTAGCTATAGTGAATGTTGTTATAGAAGGTTACCGCACTCTGCCGTCTTAGCTTCATACGTGACCACCCAACCTTCACGCTGTAATGGGTCGTCTTTATTAGTTAAGCGAGGGAAGTTATTCAAGGTTCTTTAAAATCTAAAGGGTTAAATAAAAGATGGCATTCCAACTCCCCTTATAGCCATCCCTGTCCACCAGCTGTTTTTCTCTTTTGTTCAACTTTATTTTATTCTGATACAAAACTTAACTTCATTATAAAGGGACTTGAAATTTAAACCTAAGAGAGAGCTCTAAATCAAAAAACCTAGCCAAATAACTGGATGACTGTATAACCATTAACTGGGGAACTGGGTGGAACCCAACTAGCAGGTATCACCTTAACTACAAGCTGGATAACTGGGCAACCAGAACCGTATACCCAAATAACCGTTTAACGGGGAAGCCTGACAACTGGCAACCGGGCAACTGTACAACCGGGCAAACGGGGCATGGGTTGCTCATGAAAGTACTTGAAGATGCTTCTGTATAATATTTACATTATCAATACCTAACAATATTATCAACACCATTAAATATTTACATTATCAACACCAGTATTATTATACACAACATCAATACAAACTTCAAAACATATATACACAATAAACTATCAAGCAGGATAACATAAATATATTTCTCCTCAAGAACAGTATTATCAAAAACACAACATTGAAATCTTTACCACTGAATATATGAGCAGTGATTTAAAAAGGTATATCTTGGCAACTACTACTCACCAGCCACAGGCAGTAGTGTGAGTACGATATAATGGCGGATAGAAGATTTGATTTTAATCACCACTGATACATGAAATAATGGTCTGCAAAGGGCAAAGAGAATGAGATGGAGAGCACTGGTAACACAAATATAGATAATGTTCATGAATTTCAAGATTCTAAATAATTTCACATTAACTCGGAACTGGGGGAGCGTTACTTCTCCAAGTGGGATCAAGGTTACCACCACTTTCCAGTAGTAAGAGTGACAACCCATAACAACGCGGACAGAGTGTCAACTGAATATTGACATTTGTCTGGTATCATCCTGTAATGTTCGTTTTCTCAGAAGCAATACATGACTGGAAAAAATCGATTCTCTTTAACTTCAACAACCATTAGATTAGTTTAATTCAAATTTCAAATGACTCTCAATTTCTTTCCTTTTAACCGCTTGATTTTGACTAAGGCTTTTCCATCTTAATCTTTCTAACATCTACCCACGTGTTTTAACCCTGCTTGATTTGATCGTGACATTAACGGTTGCTATGTGATTCCTTGTAGGTACTTCATTATAATAGCATAGGGCGGCCTTGGTAACCCATAGCCGTGTCTGTTAATTGCCACCACTTCTTGACACCGGAGGGATTATTGTAATAAACCGGCCAGATTTGTTCGGTAGCTAAGCGTTGGGAACCGCGTTGTACTGAAGTGTGCAGAGCAGACTTGGGAACCGCGTTGTACAGAAGTGTTGTGACCAGACGTTTGGGAATCGCTTTGTACTGCTGAAGTGTACAGTCGTAGGGAGCCGCGTTGTACTGTTGAAGTGTACAGACCAGACGTTGGGAACCGCGTTGCACTGCTGGAGTGTACAGACCAGACGTTGGGAACCGCGTTGTACTGCTTGAGTGTACAGACCAGAAGTTTGGGAATCGCTTTGTACTGCTGAAGTGTACAGTCGTAGGGAGCCGCGTTGTACTGTTGAAGTGTACAGACCAGACGTTGGGAACTGCGCTATACTGGGAACGTTGGGAGCAGCGTTGTACAGAAGTGTGCAGGTGTTGGGGCCTCGACATGCCGTCCGGGATGCTGCCAGTCATCGGCCAGAAACCGTGAGTTTGATTTATGAAGGCCAACGATCTGAATACTTAACAAAAATTCTCATGTTATGAACGAATTTCTGTATATCGAGAACCGTGCTATTCTATGATACGAAATAAATTACCGTGCCATTCTAATTCGTATCAACAGGATTGCGAGTTTGCGAGTGTATATGTTAAAATCTATTCTATATTAGGGGTTGTCGGGGTGAGGTTAGGTGAGTGTTAGTCCATCTATATTACTCGTAGATAATAAATAAGTGTAAATATGGTATGACTTACAGCAAGGCGTCGGCTGAGAGCTTCAGGTGCCAGAAATGTCTTCAGTTGGGGCACTGGACGTTCGAGTGCCGAGGTCAGCTGAAATATGTACACAGAGATACACGCACCGCGATGCTTAATAAGAATATTAAAGTGAACCAGCAGCAGCAGACGCAGCAACTCCTGTGAGTAAAAGCTATGCTTACTTTACCCGCATACTACATTATAATAATTATAATAATATGATGCTCGTTTCGTGAATAATAACGCGACTTAACTCACCCACATATCACGTACAATGTAACATTCGTAATAATAGTACGACTGCTAGTTTTAGTAATTGTCCTTATGTTTGAACTGCTAGAATATTACAAATCTACTCAAAACTGCTTGTCCTTGTGGCTTGTCGCCAATATCATGATTCCTAAACCACTTGCTGGCTCGTTCCGTTCTGATGATTCTTGTTCCGGTTCTGATGTTTCCTGTTTCATTTCTGATGATTCCTGTTCCGTTTCTCATGATATCTTTAGCCCCGCGTCTCAAGGCAACGGAGCCTCCGTTCCTGGTGAAGAACCTGTTATTTCATCGCCTCAATTTTCCTGTGCCTTGCTGAAATATGTACACAGAGACACGCGCACCGCGATGCTTAATAAGAATATTAAAGTGAACCAGCAGCAGCAGACGCAGCAACTCCTGTGAGTAAAAGATATGCTTACTTTTCCCGCATACTACATAGTAATACGTAGAATGCGGCATACTACATACTAGTAATAGTGCGTAATAATCATTATGTGATGCTCGTTGTGTGAATAATAATACGACTCAACTTACCCCCATATCACGTATAATGTAACATTCGTAATAATAATACGACTGCTAGTTTTGGTAATTGTTTCTGATGTTTCTTGTTCCGTTTCTGATATCTTTAGCCCCGCGTCTCAAGGCAACAGAGCCTTCGCCTGGTGAAGAATTTGTTATTTCATCGCTTCAATTTTCCTGTGCATTGCCATGACGCACTTTTGTGACTTGAGTCCCTTGTTTTTATTGATCTATTGCGCGCAACTTTTTGCAGAGCAAAACGTGCGGCGTCTTCCAAAACGAAATCTCGCAGCGCCAAGAAAGCTAAACGTAATTCATCGTCGAGTGACTCTGATGATTCTGGGTCGACAAGCTCGTCGTCTTCATCATCATCGTCATCTTCCTCCTCCTCCTCCTCCTCTTCATCATCGTCATCATCGTCTTCGGATTCATCTGACTCATCATCATCATCATCATTATCGTCTTCTGATGAGAAGACAAAGAAGAAATATTCGCGCAGCAGTCGCTCGAAGCGGAGACCCACATCCGCTGAAGGCGCTACCAAGGCCGCGCAGTCCTAGGGGCGGCCGAACTATAAGATGGCTCTCTAATTAACTTCTTAAACGGCGACAATAATTGATTTCAAATCAACTGTTGAATTGATACAACAATAATATATGTCGCTGATATATCAGGGTGAGACTTTTTAATTGATTTCGTATCAATTTTTGAATTTATGCTGCAAATATATTCGTCTCTTGTATATCAGCGTGACTCATTGCTAGAGATCCTGGATAGACAAATGAGGGTGTTTGCTCGTGCAAAGTGTGTGTGAGCTTGTCGCAAAACTTTGCTACTTTGTGTCTATTTTATAATAGTCGCTTAACATCGTAAACTTGTTTATTGCGAGTTGTTCGCCAAAATTATTTTGCTATTATTTATCAAAATGCAAGCGCACACAAAATAATTTTGTCAATTGGGGGTTTAGCCTCCAAAATCATTAATAATTGAATCAAGAGGAGTCCAATTGACTAGATTACTGAATTAGCGCGTGTATATAATAATTGTATTTAATTAAATTAATAAGTTGGGGAGTTAATTCTACCGAGTTTCATCAAGATCGAAATATTGATTATTCCATATCGAACTTGACGTGTAATAGAAGTTGGTGTTCTACGCCATCCATCAACTAATTTTCACGATATTTTACTCACATCGCATCATTTCCGCTTTCCGATATGTTTATCATGCATTAAGTCATTTTCATATTTGTATGAAGAACTGGTGCCTCCGTCCTGTCATGCTAGTATACTTCCTACGAACGAATATTACAAATTTTTTTCAAATGCTGATGCTACAATTTAATGTATGTAGGTTCTTTCATTCTCGTCATTGAAACAATACAAAATATTCAGATTTGCTACATCAATTGTTAGGATTTTTGAAGGTCCCTCAATGTAGCTACCGAGTTATTTCTTAGGCAAGTCCAGCTCGTTTTTCCTGTGCTCAAAATTCAAATAAAATTTGTCTTAAATTCTAAGAAGAGTTTCAATTTTAAACAAATTAAGAGTTATGTTTAAGATAAAATGACGCATCATCGTGATTAATATCCATTTTGCCAGCTGCATAACAAAACTGCATGCGATAGCTCGAACATCATTGAAGACATCTGCCAGACCTTATTAAATGGCCCCTGCCAGGTGACTCGGTCGTAGGATTAGAATAGAAGTGTCGGCACTGAAGAAATAGGCCCATAGCCTGTTGCCGATTCTTGAACTTTTCGTGACTTGATTCACAAGAGATCCGGCCTTTGGAACCCGATCTTTCCATAACTGACGATTGATTGAGATAGCTGCTGGACTTACTGCCTGGTCTGTAATTTGCTAGGCATTTTAACACTTTGACTCCGATTGCTTCATCTTGTACTATTATTTCATTTTTTGTACTGTTTTTAAACAGGGTTGCCAGACGGTCATTTTTTCCGGACCAGTTTCGTGATTTAGTTTTTCTCAATTGCGTTGGCCGGGTAAAATGTGTGATAAGGGTACTTCCTAATTAAATTTTAAATACTGCAAAAAGAAAATAAATGGAATTTTTATAGCGGAACCTACAAATAAACTTGTATATATTGAGGTNTCCTGCATAGCTTCGTCTAGTCTGTTCTTGAAGGCGTTCATACTCGGAGCGTCAACGATGCTATCAGGGAGGCTGTTACAATACAATACAACAGTTGCCTGTTGCTGCTGGAAACACGTCTTGCAGTGGTAACCTGGTCGCAGGATTGCTGCAGGAAACACGTCTTGCAGTGGTAACCTGGTCGCAGGATTGCTGCAGGAAACACGTCTTGCAGTGGTAACGTCGCGGGATTGCTGCTAGAAACACGTAAACTTGCAGTGATAATCTCGGCTGGAACAGTTTTGTCAAACGTTAATGAGCCGAAGATGGTCTAGGTTATCTAAAGAAGACACTAGCGGTGATTTCGTACGATCCCTTATGAATTGTTTGGCGTTGAAGAACCAACTTGCGCCCCCAGGAAATTGCCTTGACGAGTTGCCACTCATCAGGGTTTATAGGGGACTTAACTCTCCCCGGGGAGTCCCGTGTCACACAAAGACAAACGAGTAACTCATTTATTGTTAATGAATGTGATTATTCCGCCCTATGTTCTATTAAGCTCTAAAGTTCCAAAAGTGATACAAATATTTCCGAGCAGGTATTTAGAATATCAGCAGAATGTGTGTGCACAAAACCACAATTAAATATGGAAAATGGCATGTACTATACATGCTAAGAAAATAATTCTAGTATTTTCCTGTTGGAACTTCGCTCACTTTTTTTATTTCTATTTTTTTTTTTTCAGAGTAATTCAAACTTGGTTGATTACACACCGCAATTCCAAACGAGGTTTTAGAGAGTGATTTCGTAGCAAAGTATCGTTAAGTCTGGTGATGCTAGCAAAGAGGTCGACCTTTCTGCTTGGATGCCGGCGTCACGGCAGCACCCCGGGTGGGATGGCGGCAGCTTTTACTTGCTCGCAAGTGCGGACTTCATCTTCACGTTGCAAGAGAAGCAAACCGTTACTGAGTTCTCGTCCGTGTGCTCCTAGTTTCATATGCCAAGCTCAGTTTACCAAAGTCTTACCGTATGCTCGTCGAAGTCTGACTACAACAGTTCCCTGTGACGCCGGAACTAGTGTCACCTACAACGGTAGTGCAAGCGACGCAATAGTTTCGTTAGTAGAGACTAAGGCAGAAGTGGTGTCAGTGCGACCGTATTACGGGACATTGCGCCTCTCAGGCGACGTGCATTTCATCGTCGTGCCTGACTTAGAGGTGAGTGCTAACGACGCTTTTATAGGTAAGCTGTGTCGTGCGATTACTCGAAGTCGAAGCTACTACAAACCAGCCAATTTTATTATTGCAAATTTACTTGCTTCCAGCGGTAATCCTGTGACCAATTTCAACTAAACAATTCCCATGTTTTTGCAGCAATTTTTAGATAGATCAGCTGATGCTGATTTAGTACCTCTTCTCTTTATATCTAAGTTAGAAGTCTTGTTTACACCTATTGGCCCACGTCAAGCTGTGCGGCAACACAATCTGTCACCACCACGGGTATTAAGCCTTTAATGTACTGCAATCTTACAAAATAAAGGTGAACAAATAGTAATCTATAGTAATCTGATGAGATTTAGATTATTTTAAACATTTTCAATATTTTCAACTCCAAACATGACACTACGTACCTGCGGGATAGCTTAGTTATTGGTCGTTGCAATTGTGAAGTATCTTTGTCGTCCGACGTTTTGACGGAATTGTCAAGCAAACTTTCGCACCATCGCATTACGAGGCAAGGGGGTCAATTTTTGTAATTGCAAAATTTAATGCAATTTATTATGCAAATTTGTGTTAATCATTAAACTGCGGAAAGTATCCGATGTAATGAAAGTATCCAATGTGTGGCCCAGTGGTGGGCAGGGTGGCCCAGTGGTTAAAGTTCAGAGTACCAAGATTGGAGCAGAGAGGTCAAACATCATTACTATAATATTAATTCTGAACTTTTAGTCAATTCCTTACTCATAGTTATTAGAAGTGTGGGACACAAGTCTCACCCGAGATGATTAAGGCCAAGTAATAATTATAGCAGAAAGCAATCAGTGAACGAACGGCCGAGCTGTTCAAAACTCTAGAGTACAGCTGCTAGCGTCAGAAAATTTATCCAGTGAATGCATTTAAAGAATAACAATAACATTAGCCTCCCTGAGTTTAATGTAGATATTGCAACCATATCTGATATATGTCAAAATGTGGGTACGGAAACCTGGGACGAATATCTCTCTCGCATTCATGATGTTCGCCGCGTTGCTGTGTTACTTGTATAATAGAATAGAAGTGTCTGCCCTGAAGAAATAGGCCTGTTGCCGATTCTTGCACTTTTCGTGACTTGATTCACAAGGGATCCGGCCTTTGGAACCCGATCTTTCCATAATTGACGATTGATTGAGATAGCTGCTGGACTTATTGTCTGGCCCGTATAGACTAACTCTTGGTCTTGGACTCTTGGTAGCAACACTCACTTTATGTCTATGATGCAGCACCACTGTGGCAGCGTTTGTGGCGTGAGGTTACTCGCCACGGCTGCGGTAGACGAGGCTGGGCCCACCATGACTGTGGCGGTCAGTGAGGCAGACGCCTCCGTTGTGAATGTTACGGCCCTGCGTCGCTCCACGACCAGCGAAGTCGACGTTTGTTGCGAAGTCAAACTTCCTGTCAAGTATGGTTAGTGTTTCCTATGCGTGTGCATAACTGTAAATGTGTTGCATGATTATTTTACTTTTAAACACCAGGGGCCCAATCGTTTAGAATATCAGGATTGGAGCAGAGAGATGCGTGTTCGATCCTAGCTTCCTGTGACAGAGGTCCTGATTAAAATCGACGAATTATAATAATTTTCAGTTCAATCAATGTACGTAATACCTCAATATATTCTCTCGAATACCTTATTAATTAATATAAACATGATGATAAAACACAACGTAACACTGTGTGTCCAGACGTAGAGGCAGCTCTGCAGGCGCAGGGTCGTGTTGAGGTGCAGGGCCTGCAGAACGCACGCGTGCGCATCGCTACAGAGGAAGGTGGCGCTGCAGTGAACCGCCTGCAGAGTCTGCAGGTCATTTATAGGACCTCTTCTGGACCTTTGCTAGTGAAAGGAAAGCTGCTAAGTTCGCTGCAAGCATCGGCAACTCGAGTGCTTGTGAGCCAAGCGTAATACTTATTGCATGCAATAATACTGTACGATTGAGTACAAGAAACTACAATTATATTATACAATTATAATAATATTTTTAACATATTTTAAATATGGTAAATTATTATAATAATAATATATAATAAGAGCTTGAACTTAATAACTCTTCAGTTGCGGCTTCGCGAGAAAATGGTGAACTGATCAACTCAGCTCATGTAACAGCACCAGCGTGATTATATGCACTTAAGTAGTGCTACTAAACTTTTATCATTTGGGTAAATAAACTAAATCAGTATAATTAGGCAACTACATTTATTATACTGTGAAGAACAGACTTTAGTGACGGATATGCATCTGCACCATTAGACACTTGACTAAAAATTTCGATAAATTTGGCTTTGACTAAAAATTTCGATAAATTTGGCTAGCGCCATTTCGTTTGCCAAAAAATACCGAGTACGGTATTCACTACTTGGCAGCGTAAGTATAATTTCCTTCGAACAAAAGACAACTTTTTGCCTGTGAGGAAGGAAGGAAGATCAAATGTAAGCACGAGCGGTGCTCATAGTGGGAGCTATGGTGGCAATTGGAGTTAAGAAAAACTGATTTTCAACACTCCAGTTAAAAATGTTTTTTTTTTACACATTCCGGAAGATGAAAGAAAGCCCCCACGTTGCTCAAACCTTTTTAGCCAAGTGAAGAAGGGTTTCAAGAAGATCTTTGCATACAGTTTGACAGGCCACAAAATCGAGTAATAACCATTCTTTTAGCTCCTAATCTGCGTTTAACGCCACCCAGTCAACTCTATTTTATACGTTAAGATTTAGAAGGAGGCTTCCTTTCTGAGATGCAAAATGAATTGCGGAGTAAAAATTTAACAGTCACCATTTGGCATTTTTCGAGCAAAAATACCTTAACTGTTTTTTTTTTTCAGAGTATTAGCGGGGACATGATCCAGGGCGGCAGTGTGGAGGTTAATGCTCCGAAAATAGAATGCAACTTGCAAAGTCTTCACTTGAACAGCTTACAATTGGCTGCCGATGACGTCACGCTGCGTGTAAATGACGTCACATGTCACACTTCCTCCATTCAAGCCGAACACGCTCACGTTCTTATTGGTAAGGAGAATACAAACTTTGGCTTTCAGCTTTTAGGAAAATTAGTAAAGGGAGAGTTGAACAAAAGCTACCGACAAAAGCACGCTTTTTATTTCTTTAACAAAATGAAAGGTTAGAATGTTTCCGGTTATCAGTATCAGAAAGTCCGTTATAAACGGTCAGCAAGCATTTTTTGGCAATATGTATGTATATATTTATATAAAGTGTAAAAAATTATAATGCTGAATGATATATTTCACTCGGTATATACAATATATAAAATGAGGTTAGCTACAAAATTATTTATTTAATCACGGCAAAAATATCATATGTTAAATAAAATAAAATAGAACTCTATTGATACATTTTCAATATTTGGAAAAATGTTCTCTGAGGACACTTTAAATTATTATTAAGCCCATAGAGTTTAGATTTAAGACGCATGACTTAGAGCATTCTCGAAGGCAATTTTCGCAATGGAAGGAATTATGGTATGGCAAATATAATAAAATCTCTGCAATTATGAAAGAAAATATTATAAAAATATGTGTCATGTGTTAATTCTTTCCTCCATGCAAGCCGAAGACGCTCACGTTGTTATTGGTAAGAAGCATCCAAACTTTTTTCAGATTTTCGGAAAATTAGTAAAGGGAGAGTAGAACATTAGCTATCGATAAACGTACGCTTCTTATTTCTTTAACAAAACTAAAGGTTCTAATGTTTCCGGTCACAAATATCAGAAAGTCCGTTATAAACGGCCGGCATGCATTTTTTGGCAATATATATGTAGTGTATGTAGAGTATATATTAGTAGTGTAAAAAATTATTGTGCTGAATGATATACTTCACTCGGACATACAATGAGGCGAGCAACAAAACCATTTAGTTAATAACTGCATACGGTATATCAAATATTAAAGTAAATAATATAGAATTCGATTGATACATGATCAATATTTGGACAAATGTTCTCTGAGAGGACACTTTAAAATATTATAAAGCCCATAGAGTTTAGACTTAAGAGGCATGACTTATAATATTCTGGAAGGCAGTTTTGGCAATGTAAGGAATTATGGTGCCATCCTTGAAATATAATGAATTCTTTGCAATCACGAAAGAAAATATCGTAAAATATTATAAAAATATATATGTGTTATGTGTCAATTCTTTACAAAGAGCAATTGACAGAAAATTGTTTTGCTGCGGTTGCCCGGAGTTCGAGCCACTGACAAGAACTGTAGATGGTAACGCTATAGTACGGCACTTGGTAGTGGCAGTAGTGCCTGTTGCCACTGCTCTCATGTAGACGTTGATGGCAGGTAACTACAGTGGTGGCATGACGTGGCAGTTTTCGTCAATGTCACTCGAGGTTGCCGTCCCGAGGCTGCATGGCGACTCCAGCGTCGTGGCGACCAGAGGACGCGTGTCGCTGGGATGTCCTACCGAGTACAGGTCTGTAATAATACCATTTTCTAGTAATATTTATACATTATATTATGATAATAACATGATATAATTATAGCGATATCAATGTATACCTCAACTGCTTTATGATGAAATGGTTGATGAGTTGATGAATACTGAAGCCACGTTCGATGCCCATATCGAGGAAATAGTCGCACGCAGCCGGCAACGGTTGGGGTAGATATGGCGGACATTTCGAACGAGAGAAGCAGCACCAATGTTTACACTCTTCAGAGCCCTCGTGCTACCCAATCTTGAGTATTGCTGCCAGCTTTGGTCGCCACTCAAGGCGGGTGCGGTGCGGAAACTGAAGGCAGTGCAGCGGACCTTCACGTACGGGATCAGCGGCATGAGGGAGCTGAACCTGAACTACTGGGGAAGGCTGAAACACCTGGAACTGTACTCACTGGAGAGGAGAAAAGACAGGTATATCACACTGTACACTTGGAAGATGATAAACGGACTGGCTCCCAACTTTGAGAGTGAGACCTCCAAAATAATGACATATTACAACGAAAGAAGGTGTGACAAGCAACAGCATCTTGCATCAGCTGGCCCAAAGGAGGGCAAATAGACGGAACACGTCCAACGTTACATCCGGGACCCGAGGGCGGGGTGATCTGCCTAGCGACGACTCGGAGACGGAGGATGACGAAGGCGGCGCATCAGCGGGACTGAGAAGTCCGAAACTCATCATAAGGTCACAAGGTTGCGTCAACCAGGCACAAGTTGTTTCTTCTTAACGCGTCTCAGGCTCTATGATGCTCGCAATTTTTGGCAGTGATAGCAGCTATATTTCTGTACTCATATCACTCGTTATTGTCCAGGTTATAGAAGATAATATCCTTGATAGTAAATTTAAATTAATCGTATATATAATTTGTAGAAATATGTGAAGCGACCGTACTTAAATCACTTAGTTCAATAATACGACGTTCTTAAAATGTAGACTGAATTATACGTTGTAACTTAATCTTGTATGCCGATTATTGCACTGAAGACTTATGCCCATCTTGAATCTTTTTTCAATTTCTTCCTTAACCATGTAGTCACAGTCTAGCCAGCACGCTTCAGAACCTGCACTACTTTATAATTGTATACAGTATATCCGAAGCGTTTTTTTGGTGCCTGGGTTTTCCCAGGTTCTTCACATTAGTTCCTCCTATAATTTTGACGAGATATATAATTTAAAAAAATACATGGAATATCTGGACAAACCTAGCCAGCTCATTTTGTCATAATATTCTAGGTACGGCATTTGTGTCACGGGACAAGATGTGTGCATGCATCGTGAGTTTAAGGAAGTGAAGTGCATTGCAGCCGACATTAAAGATGCTGCAGGCGACATGAAGGATGCTGCAGGCGACATGAAGGATGCTGCAGGCGACATGAAGGATGCTGCAGGCGACAAGGGCAGGCAGCGTGTGCTGGCAGGCCCAAGCTCTCCTTTGCTGTCAGTGACGCTGCTGGAAGGCCGCTGTTCGCTGGTACCGTGGACATGGCCGCGTACACGGCACTGACTTCCAGCACTGCTGACTGTGACTTCCAGCACTGCTGACTGTGACTTCCAGCACTGCTGACTGTGACTTCTATCCATACTGACTTCTTTATCAACCACTTCGCCGATAGTTTATTAATGAATTGTACGCTGATGAACTACTTCAGTTAATAATATTTAATACTAATATTATATAAGATCAATGAATGATAGTTATATTAATAATACTAATATACTACTAATATTGCTCCGGTTACTCGTGTCAGGCGGTGGAGGGTTAAATGACTGTTCTATAACAGCCTCATAAACAGCGCTTCTATGAAAGCCTTATACTTTCTTATCAGACTAACTGATAATGTTTTACCAGAGGGTTTAACAGAAATATGTTGCATTTCTGTACAAATATTCTAATGTGTAAGTTAAAACAACGTAATTATAGCGGCATGAAATGCTATATTGATGCTTTAACATTTGTCGACATTTGTGTAAAATAGGAAGCGAGAGGAGGAGACCTCTTTTTGAAAATTTTCCTTTTCATCTATGTGCTGTATATACTCTGTCCATTTTTTATATAGTTTTTCCTTCAATAAATGATTCTGATAATATATCGTAAACAAGAATATTCTTCAGTGGTTATTATTCTCTTATTGTCCCGATCAAACCAATTATTTCGGAGTGATTAAAGATTATCTCGATTATCTCGATTGATTTAAGGTCTCCGAGATTGTATCAGCGAGTTGGAACGCAAAATGTGTTTCCTGCAATGCCCAAAAATTGATGCGTTTCCATTTGTTTTGGTGGCCGGTGCACTGAACCGTTAATTCAATGGAGAGGAGGTGGCATTTAGCCGAGATAATTTACTGGTAAATGATTAATTCTCATGACTTTCGTTGATGACCTTCACGGCTTGAGGGATCAACCCAACGAAAAACTTTTATACTAAGACCACCAACTCCTTCATACCTAAGCCAAAATCACTGCCTCAGTTATTATTAATATTATTATTGAATCACTATTGTACATATTAGTTTTGATTAAAACTCTTCAATGTCGTAATAGTTCATGTGCAACACACATCATAAATTCTCCAACCACATTAAGAAATCAAGACAAGATTTTTTGTCGACTTACCGCATTTTTAAGCGTCTGAGATGAAGTCTGAAACAGGTTTAGCGTAGAAAAATATAACATACACCTTGAGAATACGTACAGCAGTGCCACACAATTCCCGACATATTCGTCGGAATATTCCGACATATTCGGGGCATATTTGTGGGCCGGATCGGGCCCACGGTCCCGAGGTTGTAAGGGGGAGGTTGTTTCATAAGCCGCCGGAGGGGCTGAAGAACAGTTATATAAACAATGCTTTGAAAAACGTGAAGAGTCTTTCCTTTTTTTATTTTTTTTTTATTTTATTTTTTTTAAAAAGGCCTCCCACACTCACCATTCCAACAAAAAAAAAAAAACACACTCACCATTCCAACAAAAAAAGTCTTTCCTTATTTCGCAAGAAATAAAGGCCTTTATCGGACATTTATTTTTTCTTTAATAAAGTAATTAATGTACCAGAGGTCTCAAAGCGTTACCTACAATTTCTGCATTTTGTGCTAACGAAAATATTAATAAATACTAAAAATATTGATAATTAATTAATTTGCGCTACTACAAATCTCAAATTACTGAATTAGCGATTATTCAGACAGCTGTTCAAAACAACCAAATTTTTCAATATCCTGTGAATTGTTTCTTCATGAATACCGGTACTTGAATATTTGAAATAATATTGATGTTCTAATTTCGGTATCGGTAGACAAATACAGGACGCTACCTAAGGCCTAACACACGTCTCGGACAAAAACGCACGTCTCGGACAAAAACGCGGCCTCTCTCACGGCCGGTCTCGCGGCCGGACTCCAAATTCAGTGAGCGTGGAATATCTCGCAAAATACTGAACGTAGCTTTACTTTAGAAGAAATGTCACGCTCACTGCAATTTTCACCACGTATATTCATATAACTCAGGAATGAAGGCGAATTTTGAAAAATTGTCACGAGCTAAACATCACCGTTAGGCTCTAATGATTATGTGTACCAAGTTTCATCGAGCTACGTTCAGTATTTTGCGAGATATTCTACGCTACGCTCACTGAATTTGGAGTCCGGCCGCGAGACCGGCCGTGAGAGAGGCCGCGTTTTTGTCCGAGACGTGCCTAACACGTTGTTTCTAGTCAGCTACTCAAACGTGGTCTCAACTTCGTAATTAAAGCTGTTTTTGCTAGACATCGACGCCTGATGTAACTCATGTATTTTAAAACAATACATCACACAGAGTCACCTTAGTGTCATCAATAATATATACAAACTCCAGTTAATCCACTCATTAAAATTAATGGGTCGTATTGTCCAAATAGAAACTCTCTCATAGCCACAGCACGAGCAGAAGTCGATGGCCGTGTCACTGATACCGTACGCCACTTCACCGAGCCTAACTAGATCGATATTTGGACAAATTTTTATTTATTTATTTTTCTGATTATGCTCGACTTCTTTGTTTGTAGGCAAAACTTTCAGTTCAGCCACAAGATGTTACTTGATTGCGTTCAAAATTCGGCAATTTGAGGTCTGAAGTTCCGTCGTCGGATTAAGCCTCGCAATAGTATTTCATAAAAGGAAGGGTCCCACAGCGCCTTCTTTTTTTGACTAGCGTCTCGTCTGTTTCTTGCCTATTGCTTATCACTTAGACTTGTTAAGAGAGAGTAATAATGTTTAATAATTCGTATAGTTTAATAATTTTAATATTGGATACTCTAAAGAATATCCACAATTTGTCAATTTCATCAAGTATACTGGCAAAAACTCGTCAATTCAAATGAAGCAAAAAACCTAATATTGAATAACGTTGTTTGAATGATAATTTACACGTTGGCTCTGATTGCATCATATTGTACTAGTATTTCATTTTTTGAACTATTATTGCCAGACGGTCTTTTTTCCGGACAAATTCTGCGATTTAGTTTTTTTTTTCAATAACGTTGGCCGGCTGAAATTTATGATATAGGTACTTCCTAATTAAATTTATAAAAATGGAATTTTCACACCAGAACCTACAAATATACTATTATATATTGAGTTATATCACTTATATGGCCTTTTTTGTTCCCGGACTTGGCCGTTTTTAGGCCATCTGGCAACCCTGAATTATGTACCACTACGTCCTGGAGAAATACATTTTGTGGTACGCATATGTACCACTTTGGAATCAACGTGTTGACGACTGAATGAATTGTTATTCGGAGCCATTTTAGTCAATATCGTCATGAATGAAAAAAGTGAATCTATCTAATAGATAGTTGTAATTGAGAATAATAATTATTTACTGAATTTTTATTAATAAGCTTTTCAGTCAAGGTCGTCATGAATATAAAAGTCGAAATAAGATTGTCATCACTCAGATGTTATTTCATGAGCAACAAGAGCAAATAATACAAATAATCTTCACTCAAGGTGGTGCGTAGAAAGCTCATGATGATTTACGTAAAAAATCTACGCTCTCAACATATGTTTTCAACAATTAATATTTTTGTAGTGGAGAAAACTTTAAATTCCGGATTTCGCGGTCATTATTGATTGATGAATTTGTTGTATGATTGTCTTCCAATTCACACAAAATCTTTAATATTACTTATTCATAGCATACCGGGCGAGGGATATTAGATACACAGCGCATGCATTCAAGAATGTATTCATATGAATTACAGGCACACCACGGCGCAATATCGACCATTATGCAATACTGAAGAAAACGCGATCTCATGAAATAGGGCCAGGGTTGAAGACAGTGAGCTAAGATAGATAACAGTAGAAGACAATGAGCTATAGCAAATAAGAGTAGAAAATAGGTAACAGTAGAAAACAATGAGCTATAGCAATATATAACACTAGAAGACAATGAGGTATAGCAATATATAACACTAGAAGACAATGAGGTATAGCAACGAACAACAGTAGAAGACAATGAGCTATAGCAATAAATAACAGTAGAAGACAATGAGCTATAGCAATAAATAACAGTAGAAGACAATGAGCTAGAGCAATAAATAACAGTAGAAGACAATGAGCTATAGCAACAAATAACATTAAGGCCCTGATTGAGAACCGAGAGGCTTCGAACAGGGATCACACTTCCGACCCTCGCTCTACCCTCGACATCCGAGGGTTGCCCTCACAGCGCCTGCAGCAGCGGCATAAACACAAACAAAACCGAGCACGCTGCAAGAAATAAATTTCTAAACTTTTCTAACAAATATTTACACTTACTTAAACAACTCAAAATCTAGTACCGAGAACTGGCAGAGAAGATTTAAAAATAAAACTAAAAAAAACTGAAAAAATGATTACTGGCTAGACCATTCATTTTGGGTCTGCACATAAAATTTTTTTTCTGCAGAAAAAAAATGGAACTGGAATTATAAGAAAATCCTCGAAATGCCCGCTTTTAGACTCACCCAGATTTGTTTGGCTCTTCAGCTGAATGCATTTTAGAGACTAATTTCTAAGAACAGTTTTAACACTGCAAACGAAAGGCACCAAAACACACATTATCAAGTAGTCTTGCAAGTTCCATCCCACAGTCTATAGGTCATCTGCACCTATCACCACAGAACAATCCGAAAAATCCGACATCGCCTAAAATTGAAATAAATGTTTTTCAAATTGTAATCCAAATTAATCACAATCAAGCTCGGGGTAGCCGAATGGTTGCGATTACCAGGATTAGAGCAGCGAGTTAGGAGTTCGAGACCCGCAACAATTTATGAAATTTCAGATCGAAATCAGCAAAGTGGATGGGTGGTTAAGAATCGGTTACAGGCTAATATTGCCTAATGAAAGCTGACAAAATTCTATACTATATTACTATTATTATAATGTCCTTAAGTACACTACTAATCGTATCCAGTCGTAACACATATCGAGTTTCCTCCGATCAGTATTTTGAACAGTACTCGTAATGGAAGTTGGTGATGGATCAACTCTGTCCACCGAATTGCTTGAAAAGTAAAGCTTCTCACGGGGAGCTAAGACAGCCTCAGGCTGGAGGCTTACACTCGGGGCATGGATGTTTACAATCAACAGGCTCGGTTGTAATTGAGCGAGGCAAATAAGGGTTATATCTTAGTACGTCTTTGTCGTATACACAACGTTATTCAATGGGTCATAGTTACAACGCTGTTCAATAGGTCATAGTTACAACGACTACTAAAGTCTGCTAGCGACTGGCCAGCAGTGGCAACATTTCCTGCCTAGCGATCTAACACGAAGCTGAACAATAACAATAACAGAAAATTATCTAAATTAAATGAAATGATGACAAGAAGATGAGGGCTGTGATGATGGAACAGACGGTCAGGAGCCCAGGTCGTTGAGCGCGTGAGGTGGGAGGTTGAGTGCAGCATACTGACGATGCAGTCTCTGCTTGCAGAAGTCGTAGAACTCCATCTCCCTCGTGAAGTTCTTGCGCACGACATCCTTGACCGACTCCTGCACCTTAGGCTTGTAGATGTTCTGGTTCACTTTGGAGAACCGCCTCACTTCGTCTGCACAGCGAAACAAGAAGGTAATCACGGAACTTTTTTAACTTCCGCCACATTTAAGATATTTTAATTATTGTGAAAGAGATTTAAAAAATTAAAATTAGCACGTGTTTTACATTATACGACCATTGCTTTACATTATACGACCATTACTATACATTATATTACCATTACTATACAATATAAGACCATAACTTTACAATAGGTACACGTATCGGCCGATTTCTCATTGGTGCTCGGTGGGTTCAGCTTGAGAAGCCGTCAGTTATAGGCTGACTTAACTATAATTGATAGTGTATCAATTTACGATACACACTCCAATACTATAGCCCCGTAAGATACTCACTCCAATACTACAGCCCCGTACGATACACCAATACTACAGCCCCGTACGATACTCCAATACTACAGCGCCGTAAGATACTCACTCCAATACTACAGCCCCGTACGATACACCAATACTACAGCCCCGTACGATACTCCAATACTACAGCGCCGTAAGATGCTCCAATACTACAGCCCCGTACGATACTCCAATACTACAGCGCCGTAAGATACTCACTCCAATACTACAGCGCCGTAAGATACACCAATACTACAGCCCCGTACGATACTCCAATACTACAGCGCCGTAAGATGCTCCAATACTACAGCCCCGTACGATACTCCAATACTACAGCGCCGTAAGATACTCACTCCAATACTACAGCGCCGTAAGATACACCAATACTACAGCCCCGTACGATACTCCAATACTACAGCGCCGTAAGATGCTCCAATACTACAGCCCCGTACGATACTCCAATACTACAGCGCCGTAAGATACTCACTCCAATACTACAGC